TTTCACCACACCCCCGCCAGCATTTGTCATTTTTTGGCTTTTTTTTAATCTTAGACATTCTGACTGGGGTTAGGTGGTATCTCACTGTTGTTTTGATGTGCATTTCCCTTACTATGAGGGATGTTGAGCATTTTTTCATATGCCTTTTGGCTATTTGTATGTCATCTTTAGAGAGTGTTTTTTTTTTCAGCTCCTTCTCCCATCTTTTAATAGGGTTGATCATCTTTTTTCCAATCAGCTTCTTTAGTTCCTTGTGTATTCTGGTTATCAGTTCCTTATCTGATGCATAATTTACGAAAATATTTTCCCATTCTGAGGGCTGTGGATTCACAGTAATTACTGTGTCTTTTGCCATGCAGAAACTTCTTAGTCTGATAATTCTTGGAATTCTGATAGTTTTATTTCTTCCTTTCCAATCTTTATACCTTTGATTAATTAATATTTTGTATTCTTGCTGTAATAGTGTTGAATAAAAGTTATGAGTATCTTCTACTGATTTTAAAGAGAATTCTTCTGATATCTTATTTTTAAAAGTGGTTATGATTTTCATTATGTTAAGGGGTGTTCTTTGCCCTATTTCATCAAGAGATTGTTTAAAAATTACAAATGGATTTAGATTTGTGAAAAGATCGTATATTCTTAATCTGTTAATATGGCAAATTAATTTGTAGGGTTTTTTCCTTAACTTTTCCTTGCATCTTTGAGATAAACATAGTTTTTTTTTTGAGAGAAATTTTTGCTATAGGGCATATGTGCTGGCAAGAGAGACAGAGAAAGACACAGAAAGTGAGAAATCACCTCCCCCCACCCCAGAGGGAATGGACATGCCACAATCCCTTTTCATTCACTCTCCTCTTGGAACTTTGGGCATGAAAACATGCCTGCCATGAGTTTTAAGCCACTGGGCTTAAGTCAGGGACTGGAACTATGGTCGACTACATAGGAGTCCAGCAAAATAACCATTAAACCATCTAACTTCCACTGTTGGGTGAAAAGTTTGGATCAGTCTGATTGCTGACCTTTAGAAAGACCTTTGGTCTTTCTTTTATTTTTGCCTATTCTTTTTTTTCTTAAAAAAAAAGAATTATTTTAGGGACCAGCAGTTGGCGTAATGGCTATGTCGCTGGACTCCCATGTAGTCAACCGGGGTTCGAGTCCCAGACCGGGTGGCTTAAAATTCATGCCGGGTGCGTGTACGTGCATGCCCAAGATCCCAAGAGTAGAATGAAGGAGAAGAGATTGCAACATGGCCATCCCTGCTCGGGGGTGATTTCTCACTTTCTGTCTCTCTGTCTCTCTCTGTCTGGTGAGCACACGTGCCCTAGAGCAAAAACTTCTCCAAAAAAAAAATTATTTTATTGAACTTTATTTTTAGGTATTTTAATTTGACCAGAGAGAGACAGAGAGAGAGAGAGAGAAAGAGAGAGAGAGAGAGAGAGCAAGCTGCCAGGTCTAGGACTTGAACCATGGTCAGCCATGTGGGAGTCCAGCACCCTTAACCACCATGCTACCTGCCGACCCCTCTTTTTTGCCTATTCTAATGATCTTTAAAGTTTTTCCCCTTTCTTCATGATAGAGTGTGTGTGTGCACATTTAGGGAGACAGAGACGGAAACACCCTCCATGGTCTGGTCATGCTGCGATCCCCTTCCTGTAGTCTTCCAGCCTGTTGCATCCTCAACACTCAGTGCTTGTGTCTGGGTTGTCTCAGGTAGACCAGGCTAAGGATTTGTACTGTGATTGCCACGTGAGACCCAGCTTCTCTTGAGCAGTGTGTTACCACTGTGGCATAGAACTGGTCCTTTTATGATCTTCTTTTAGTCTTTGGTGTTATGTAGCTTCTTATCTAGTGAGTAAGCCCATGTTTTATTATTATCATTACTAAAAATTCTGCTTGGAATAGTTTGTACATCCTGAAAGTGTGCATTTATGTCTTGTAAAAATGTTGGGAAATTCTGTCTTTAGCTCTTCAAATATATCCTCTCCTTCATTCTCCTTAGTTTCTCCTTTTCGTATTTTCCACTTTCTCCTTTTTCTGTGGTATTCTGGTTGTCTTTCAAATATATATCCACCTCCCTTATCTACTGTTTCACTTTCCTTGGTTTCAGTTACCTGTAGTCAACCAAGGTCCACAAATAATAAATGGAAAATTCCAGAAATAAACAATTCATAAGTTTTAAATTGTGCACTATTCTGAGTAACATCTTTCTTCCTTCTCCCTCTTTCTTCTTCCTTTTCTATTGTTTTTGAACTTCAACACTGCTTAGCTACAACATTTTCATTAAGCTCAGAGCTCTCTAGTAGTTTTTTCTGTCAGATGGATGGAGTCTTATGTAGCTTTATATTCAGTTAGAGATTCAAGGTATACCTATATAGATTTGGGAGCACCCTTCAAATTTCACCTTTCAAATTCCTGCCCCTAGAGGGTTCCTGAACTCCAACCTCTGTTTATTCTACCTACTTGCTCTCTGTTTAACCTCCTGCTCCTCTATGCTACAGCTAGAAAATGTCATGAGCCAGAACCAGTGTGAATGGAGAGCTCAACTTGCGTGTTTCCCTTCTTCCAAGTATAACCACTGTCCTGTTTGTAGATGAGTGTCTGAAAACAGTTGTACGTGTTGTGTCCAGATTCATAATTGTTTACAATGGGAGTATAAATTCTGTACCCATTATTTTGTCTTGGCCGAAGTTGGAAATTGTACCAGTTCTTTGGTTAGCAGAATGGATTTTTTTGAATTGCCATTTAGAAAATGGTATTTATAAAGCATTTCATTTAATTCCAACTTTTTCTCAGGCACAAAGAAACAACTTTTGATATTTAAAACTTGAGATGTCAAAAAAATGGAATAAGTCCTGAATTATACGTGGTAAAAATGAGTCTTCTCTTTAAATTTAAAAAAAAAAAAAGGTCATTTTAAAGTTGGCTAAAAAAGCTGTAAGAAGTGGGCCAGCCATGTAGTGTAGCAGGTAAGCCCTGTACGTAAGGAGCTGGATCTCACATGGCCTTTAGTCATTCCACTCCCAGCTCTAGCAGCTTGATAAACATGCTAGGAGTGTGTGTGTGCATGCCCAAAGTCTTGATAAGATGGAGAAGTTAAGGGAAAAGGATTGCAGTGTGACCTGGCCCTGTTAGGGAGTGCTTCCCCACCCTTCTTTCTCTGGCAATGCATACACCTCTGTCAATAAGAACATAAATAGGAAGAAGAAAGTCAGTGGTAAAAATAGTATTAGAAGGACCAAAAGGTATAAGATTCCCCCTTTAGTCTGTTTTATTTTTATGACTTATTCAACAAATTTATTGAGTGCTCAGCACTGGAGATACAATGGTGACTTTAGAAATAGTCTTCCTTCAAGAAACCAAAGGAAAATATGAGAGAAGTACATATAAATAAATAATTAAAAAGCATATGGAATAATTACAGTAGAGGGGCATTCTATAGACTATCTGATCAGTACTCTTTAAAACCATCAAAGTTATAAAAAAAAAAAAAAAACAAGGAAAAGCTAAGAAGCTGTCATAGCCAAGAGGGACTTTAGAAGACAAAAAACTAGATATAATGCAGTGTCTCAGGATCCTGAAATTTAAAAAGGGCAATAATTAAAAACTAGGGAAATCTAAATAAAGACAGCCTTTAGATAATAATAATAATTTATTATGTTGGTTCATTAATTTAACAAAGGTACGATAATAATGTGTCATGTTACCAGTAAAAGAAATGGTTTGGTTATATATGGGAACTCTCTGTACTATCTTTTCTCATTTTTTTCTGAAAATATGAAACATCTAAAAAATAAAGTTTATTAAAAAAAAATAGGATCAACCATGCCATGGTGATTAAGGTGGATATATCCCATATGATTGACTTTGTGATTTGAATTTTTGATCCAGCCAGCTTAAGAAACATCCTGGGTTCCTGTTCACTGTACTAAAGATCCCAAAGGGAGGGCGAATTGAAGGAAAAGGGATTGTGACCTGTCCATTCCTTGTGGAGGGTGTCTTCTGTGGAGGGAGAAAACACCCTCTTGCAAAATTTAAAAAATATTTTTCACCTTTCTAGGTCAGTCCAACTCCACTGTAAAAATTAATTTTTAACATAACAATTATATGCCCTCTTGCAAAAATTTTTAAAAATATGAAAATACAATATTCATGAAGTCCACAGGAGTAGCTTCAACAATAAGTATTTAAGGATGTTGAGACTTGCTAGGCAAAATGGGGGAGGAGATACCCTCCCCACCCACCACAGTGGGAGCAATGGTGGATTTTGTAAAGAACAGTCACACAGGGAACCAGCAGTTAGCGTAATGGCTATGTCGCTGGATTCCCACGTAGTTGACCGCTTCGCGTCCCGGACCCAGTGGCTTAGAACTCATGCCGGGCGCGTGTGTGTGCGTGCCCAAGATCCTGAGAGAAGTATGGAGGAGAAGGGATTGCGGTGTGGCCATCCCCTCTGGGGGGTGATTTCTTGCTTTCTGTCTTTCTGTCTGTCTCTGTCTGTCTGGTGAGCTCATGCGCCCTATAGCGAAAACCTCTCAAAAAATACCCCAAATAAACAACAAAAAAAAAACAGTCACACAGACCCAGAGATACACAAGTAGAGAAAAAAAAGGAATCAGGTGGACCCAACGTCCCTGATGGAGAACACTGCAGCCGGGCCCTGAGCCATTCCCAGGTTTATTCCTTTATAGGACAATGGGGGAAGGGAGAAGCAGAAAGTAAAGCCAAGTGTCTTCTATTATCAGTGCAGCTGAGGAGCATCTTGTGTCCCTTGGTCTAAATAAGTCGCACCTGGCCTTCTCTGGCTGAAATAATTTCCTTTAACCATGCAGGCTGTGCAGCATCGCCCAAGTGAGAGGGTCTGTGCTCTGCTCCTCTTTAAAGGTCACTATTATTTAGCTCAGATTCAGCTGCTCCCTATATAAGGGCTCTTCAATTATTTTTTTTATAATGGCGCTAACTTTGTATAAATGTTATAAACACAATTTCCCCCCCAATTTCAGCATGGATAGTGACGGAACCATGACAATAGACTGGGATGAATGGAGGGACTACTTTTTACTTCGCCCTGCAACAAGTATCAGTGATATTATTCGTTTCTGGAAGCGTTCTACCGTAAGATTACTTTGTATTTTACTGTTTTTATTTTTCTGTAAATAATAAGTTTTATTATGCCTATAATGTATGCCGTCTCCATGGCTAAAGTTATAGTATTCCCTTCTCATAATGTTCTACTAATTTAGCAAGATGCACTAGTATTATACGTACAAACATAGCCACAGTTTGTTTGCTAAGACTTAGGACTTAAAATACATATCCCACCTACTAAAAGGGCCTACTTTATGTTAACAACTAATTTTTACAATATAGTTAGACTGCTCTAGAAAAGTAAAAAATATTTTCCCAGAGATATGTTGTGCTCAATTGTTATAGGAAAAATAAAGACACTTATTAGGATTCCTAATTTTAGAGTCAGAAGGATCGAATACATAATTTACCTTCTCATTTTGTATAAGTATTTGCTTTAGAGTTATAAGGAGTAGAGGAGATCATCTCAGGTAGATTATTTGTTCATAGAGTACTATTCTCATCCATTCTG